TGGAAAACTACAGGTTTCGGTTTTGATTGTTACACGTGGATATAGCTGACTGTGACGTGATATGCGGCTAGTGTTTTTTTGTGAAACTAATTGAAAAGGCAATTAATTTTTATTTAGATCAATCAATAAATAATGAATCATTGACGATTTTAATAGTGCAAACCGAGGTGGCATGTTGGTTCGTGGAAGGATATGAGTGGGTATGGTACGTAAATATCTTGTGTACAAGGAACCACAAAAATCATTGATGGTATTGAAAATTATTGAAATAATTGTAAACATGTTTTCATTGAAATTACGTGAAGAAATTGTTAACTAAGTGATGCAATTGTCAGTTCCAAGTTTAATGGTTGCGATTGAGTATTTTATATAATTATATGTCAGTTTGAGCCACATTCTTTCAAAAAAATACATTTTTGAATAGTGATTTGACATTATTTCAATCACATTCTTCAATAAAATAGTATTACACGCAAATCCAAGTTTTTTTCTTATTTTTAACAACACATTTTCCATCAATCTACAGTTTCAAAATACATTCTTTCAAAATAATGCGACTCAAACACAGACTAGTATGTGCCGGTTAATGTACTTGAAGTAAATAATTACGTGGTACTTCTGTGTAATTTTTGCTCGCAATTGGCTTAGAACATGGTTACTTGTCTGTACACACTATTTATTTCCTTGATTATGATGATTGTACACCTTCTTAAAGGATCTCCTAGATTCTCGTTTTGGTCATATTAGTTGACACGTTTCAAAATGAGTAGTGATTGTTATTCCGACTCGAAAGTTTTATCAATTTTTCTTTATTGAGATCTCGTATCTTCGCATGTTGTACTTACCTATTGAAATAGTCGTCTTTCAAAATTTACGGTAGACATTGATTGAGTTTTCATTAATGGGTTGCGGCGTCCTGCGTGATTAACAGATTCTTAAATTTCTGATGGGCATCGACTTTGCTTCTTGAACATGCTTCTAGCAAATTAATTTGTCTAAGTTGATCAATAATAGGACTAATATCAAGGTCCCGTACTCATTGTTTTTGTTTAATTTCTAATCAACTCAAGAATTAACAAACTCTTATAATAAAATCCAAACACGTTGATTAGGACTAACATTAATCATAAATAACTTTATACGCTAATGATTTGAATAGCCACGCCATAGTTATATAAACATAACACGTGCCATGCCAAGTCATGGCATGACAAATATATACTATATTTTTTGAGTCTTGACTAAGTATAGTGTGGTTAAGACCCTTAGGTATACATCCACTTTTTAAGAATGATAAACAAACTAGGAGAAAAAGATGGGGGAAAGACAGACTGAAATGTTAGCAGCTTGTTGGCTCTTTTTTTAATTTTTTAGACTCTCCAATTATGTATCGACACGCGTGCAACCTATTTTTACCCTGTTTTTCATCCTGTCTATGTAACATTGCTCTCCACGTTTTACCAAATCAAGTGAGAGAGCTGTTGTTTTTAGACCAAGTAAACATGACCTAATAATTCATTTTATTTTAATTTTTCTATAATATATTTTAATTTAGAAATGAAGTAATAAACACACAAGTGGAGAGTTAAATTTTGACCAAATCAAATTGCCACTTTGTTGAAAAATGATGGATGCATCTAAAGAGGATTACTAGCAACGACAGGGATGATGCTGACAGTGTGGAAACTTACCAGCTATTTGATGTATGCATGCCAGCTATTATTTGTTTAGGAAACTTTGTTCAGGATACTATCATCATTCCTAAGTTGTGACTACAACTCAAACAATTTAGTTTATTATTTCGCAATGACGCGTTCGATGCATTGAATTATATAATATTGTACGATATTATTCAATTTTTAATCTAAACATGTCCTAACCGTGAATCGAAGTCAATGGAAATGATGTGCATATTCAATATGTCAAGTTCTACTTTTCAATTGACGGTCAGGAACTCTTATGAAAAATTGCATGTTACTTGTAAATTGTGTAACATGAAGATAAATATTAACAAATTCTTCTACAATGAACTATATATTTGTGTTATGTCACTCGATATATAGGCTTCGAGCACAACAGAGTTACTTCTTGAATATCAGTTATAATTGCAAAATTAAATGGGTGAGTGAAAATTTTGGGAAAACCTTTAATTTCTTAAAATATACTAGATACCTAAAGGTAGATCTATTTGAATAGATTCATTGTATATTATGTGTTAATTAAGTCTTCATGTGACATTAATTAAGTTAGTCACTCAGTCCCAAGATTCTTGGGCATTTGTGTTGATGACAAAAAATTAATTATAAGTGAAATTTTCTATCAATCTTGTTTCTCCATATGAATCTGCTTAACTATTAATTTGGCTTGTTTAGATCTTCTTGATTGATTATCTTAAATAAATATTCCCCTATTTTTTTAATTTATTGATGAATTTTTTTAAATGAATGTTTATTTATTTGTATGTTGAATAATCTTTTATTTTTAGTAAAAGAACTTGTACAAGGCATGTTTGATGTAAGTTTTTTGATAATGGATTTTGTAAAAAGTGATATTTTTTAATAATATGTAGTTAAAGAGTAGAAAAGAATTATAGATTTACGTATGTAATTATTTTGTAGGAGAATATGTATTTGAAAATTAGTTTTAAAATACGAATTTTAAAGAATGTATACCAAAAGACGCAAAATAAGTTCTCTAATTAACTTTTTGAAGCAAAATTTGTATATCAAGAAATGTCCCACTAAATAATTTTCTAAAGGTAAATGACAAAAATATATGTAATTTGGTTAAAAATGGACTATTATCTTTAATAAATGTAAAAGAAAAAAAGAAGTATTTATGGAAAATGAACATAGTCACCAATTTATTGGTACAATAGCAATCAACGAAAAGGACAAGATAATGGCTAACCACCACCAAGATGCCTAACCTCTAGCCGTCCGGAGAAAAAAATTATACAACATATTTAGTCGGTCCAATGACTTAGGTGCTCGATATAAATTAAGGAGGATAAAATCAACTGTCCCCGACAGGCTCGGGGACAGGGGGGCCATTGGAGGGGCGCCTGTCAGGGGCAAGCGCCGCTCCAATAGGGGGGGCGCCACTGTTTTTATCCCTGTCCCCAAGCCGGGACAGGGAGCAAGGTTCAATTAAGGAAGTTCCTATTATTATTAAGTCCCACAAAAATGAAAAATATAAATATAAAACAAAAATGGAAAATAAAGACAAAAAAACATCTCAATCGAATAGAGTGATAAATTTTACTTCTCTTTTACCAAAGTTTGATAGCATTTAGTTTGTCGAGTATTCTAACACTCCACACTTGAATGTTTAATAATTTCATGTACATACAAATAATAATCTTTTTAGTAAAGTAGTTATTTGTTTTTAAAAATACTTTTCATA